ATCTTGATAAATTACGACGCTCGTGACATCCAACTGGCGGCATTATAGCCTTTTTTTGTTTCGTTTTTTTTTTTTCGCTTTAATGGCCCACAGCCCTTGAAAAACGCGTTGGAAATTAGGCCATTGTCGTTATTTTTAAATGTGCTAACTGAAATTTACGCATCATTTGCGAGCTTTACATACGAGTTGTACTTAAATTAGCATCTGTTTATTGCGCAGTTCAGTGGGTCCCGTAGAGCTCCTTTGTTCTCATGCCTCATGAGCATTATGTGTATTATGTGTGGGTACCGTGTACTATGCGGGCCAGTTAGTCAGCCCACCAACTGACCCATCATTATCATCATCATCAACAACATCATCATCCCCATCATCCCCATCATCATCATCAGCAGCAGCAGCAGCAGCAGAAGCTTATTGAATGAATGATGCTTGTGATTCACTGAGCAGCTGTTTTAGATACTCTTTCATGATGCGTATAATAATCGTATGATGTGCGCTCTCTACCCATATTGAGATCTCACTTTTCAATGAAATTTTCCCCTGTATTTCGTTACGACATCAACTATTTATAAATACCTGCATCACCTGTTGATTTTGTCCATAGTTCACGTTTCCTCTTGTGAAAATCGAAGGCAATTTACCTCGACCACAACAAAGCGCCAAATGCCGCTTTGATACACGTCGAGTCGCTGTTTGCTTGTAGAACTCAGAGATCCCAGGCCGCGATCAACTTCTATGACTCACATGACTAAAGTTGTTATTATTGTTGTTGTTGTTTTTTGTTGCTCCTGCTGTCAGCAGTTCTACAACACAAAGAGACTTTTGCAATACGCAAACATATGTTGTACTCGTACCCGTTGTCGTATTTGATATCGAGGCAACTGAACGTCGCGTTCAGTGGGTCCATTGAATAATTAAGAAGCCCATGGCAGCGGAAGGCATTTAACAAAGCGAAACAGAGAGGGAGTAAGACAGTGAGAGAGGGAGAGAAAGAGGGTATGTTATGAAATATTTATGATTAAGTAGTCACACACAGCGGCGCTTGGATTGCTTTGGATTGAGGGGTCTACCATGGGAAATTGTGGACTACACATGTCACTGGGTGGCGGCCGAGTGTCTGTGGGTGCTGCCACCCGCTAATGTTAATGGGTCTTTCCCATTTGCTGGGACTTTTTTTTTTGGTTGATAAATAAAAATGATGAGATTTTAATAGTCATCGTCGGCTGGTTTTAAGCATATTTTGTTGGCCTTTACATTTTTCGTGGAATTCATTGATTTGTTTGGCATGTCACATTGACATTTTATTGCTTGAGTGTCGTATTATTTTTAGAGCCTTGTTCTTGTGGACCTTCTTTGTGGTTTGCGAAATATAATTGTAAAGCCACAAAGCTGTCTATTATCATTGCATTTAAATATTGATTAAAGTGTTTTGTTTGTGGCAACTGTTGCTGCGGAAATACTAAATTAGCAAATGTAACTGTAATTTTAGCCAGACTAAAGCCCAGGCTTTAGTCAGTCAGCACATGCATATATGTATATATTGAGCTTGTATATGTTAGAAGTTGATAAACTATATTTATATACCTACAAAGTATCAAAGTAATATCTGCTTTCTCTCAATTAATTTTCGCATTTTATAAATATAGATATTTTAATATAGATAGATCTCGGCGCTTAAGTAATGAATATATTTGTATATGTACATACATGTAAAAACTTACAGCACGTGCGGTATGCACGATACACAAATGCGTTCCATGCACGCATAGCTATTGCATACATATGTACATACATATGTACATATTTTTGCATTGCATGCCCACACTTTCCTGTTACTGCACTCACTTGAACTGCTTCGTTGTTATACACTATACCCATTAAAAATTGATAAGAAAGAGTATTATGAACTTATGCAAATTTATGTTCCCGGCAGAAGAAAGCCTCTCGGACATTATGAATCCTGAAGCAGCGCTGTGGTGAACTAGCCAGTCGACTTATATATGTATTTGCCCATCTTTATGTAATCATCCTACCAGTAGCTGCAAATAAATAAATAAATTTTAATTTAAAACATGTCACAAAGGTCTTGAGAGTTATCTACAATATGTCTTGGTATACATTCTATACAGACCAATAATATTTTACTTGTAGGTGTCCTTACCTTATGTTGCGGAGTTGAGTACAGGGTAATTTAAAGTCGGCCACTTGCAATCTCTCTTGCTCCGAGCAGCGTCACACACGCTGATTCCAGGCGAGCGACCCAAGTTGTCGATTAGCAGTCGTCAAGCAAACGGTTTAATGCCTCGATTACGCCACTGTCATTGGCTTTTAACTATAATTATCGAGTGCAATAATCGATACATTTTTAAGTGTTAAGCATGCAAACGGCCAGCGACACCAGCGAGTGTCATCTTTGGCGGACATCAAAGTTACCGCACAAGACCAACACTCGTTTCCGCGTTGAGTGTAATTTAATTTACAATTAAAACAGCAGCCGGCCCTCACAACATTAACAAGGCGTTTACTTCTTCTATGCAGAGTGCTGCAAATCGCAAAGTTAATTAACTATGCGACGGACGCTGCCTCCCCCCACCCCAACCCCTCTGTCCCTCTCTATCGTTGTGTCTGAGTTAGAACGATTGAGCTCTTTCATGGTATAGTCGCCGCTTATGCGAGAGCGCCAAGCAGCATTAAGTTGGGCTCATTAAGTGTTAATTAAAAAACTAGAAACAGTTACAAAACGAATACTGTTTTTACCGCAGCAGCATTAAAGTCATGCAAGTTCAAGTTTATTGTTGTTGTTGTTGTTGTTGTGGGCGAAGTGTGAAGATTTCTTGGTAAAATGCATGAAGCAGACACAGCACGTGCTTTGTTATTGGAGCATGTAACGTTTTATGCGATGCTGCAGCAAAAGGCGATGAATCAACAAACGTTGAATGAGTGAAGGAGTGTGCGTGTATGTGAGAGAGAGGGGGGAGCACCGTTTCCTGTGACCAAACACAAGATGCTGCCTTGGAACAGCAGCAGCAGCAGCAGAAACTCCACCTATGCTAGGCTCTTTGTTTTCGACGTGCACATGTCGCGATGTGAGATAAATGCTTGAAAAATAAGCGAAGCGGCTGAATCAGACACCCACACACATACACACACACACACACACACACACACACACACACACACACACACAAGCAGTGTACACATGAATGCAGTAAAGGCACAATCTCAGCCTGCGAATCTGTCTGCCCACACAGCAACAACAGGAGCGCAGTTTCCGTTCCATGGCCAGCTATAAAGTCCTTAGAATGTCTCTGGCATAAACGAGACAATACAAAGGCAAAGTCAAAAGAATGCGGACTTCTCTTGCCCACTCAGTCCTCTCTCGCTCTCTCTCTTCTTGCTCTCTTTGTTTGTTGACTTGTTTGTACGCGTTAAGCATTCAAGTGCAGCAGCAACTGCCGCTGCCGCTGGCCAAGGACATGGCTGCTGCCTTCATGGACAGGTGTAAATGCTGTGGAGCACAAAGACATGCACCAAGGTAGCTTCAGCTACAAAGCACCAGCTCCAGATTCACGCTCCACTAGGCCTCATGTGTTTATTTAGATGCAGACAGTTGTATTTTGATTATGCCAAAGCACTCGTCGATGGGCTTGCTACAAATAAACAAAAGGTGTGAGGGCGTCTGAGGGTAGCTGCCACAGCTTCTTGTTGTTGATATGTGCAGCAATTAAATTATAAACACACAACATGTGCGCTTACCTGAGCCCATTTCATTACAGCACAAATAGCGAAAGGTGCGCAAATCAAAAATAACATCACACTGGGGATTCACCTGTAAATTGGGTAGAATACATTTGAACTGTGGGTTGCTTTATAAAAATTCTTTAAAATGTATACCAAGTTTGCTTTAAGAGGTCAGACACGCAATCTTTTGGCATACTTCAAGTCGGGGCTTAAATGTTTTGCGCGTAGAGCTTTTTAGACTTTTGAGCACTTATTGCCACGGAGCTAGCGGTATCTTGTAGTTTGCAGTGCTGCAAAACGAAGATTTGTTTGCTTGCTTATATAGGCACATATGTACAAATGTGCAGGCAAATTAGAAGATTTCTATAAAATAATGCAATATATTATCAAGGATCAGGGTTCGAATACCAGGCAAGTGTTTAAGAGTGTATTGTTAGTATTGTCCTTGTCAAAGACATGTAACTATATTTATTGTAATATAAATCTGAGATGGAATAAAGCATAAAGGGCTTAAAACAGAAGAGGAGGAAAAGCAATGTTAAAAGTCAATATTTGTATTGCAACAACTGAAATTCGTAAAGGATTCTGATTTAATTCTTGCAACTTGCATTCATAATATTGAAATTTGGTGTGAGCACAAGGGTCATTCACCTGCATTATTCACTAGCGACTAGCCAGGTCGATGTTTTCATTTTAAATGGTAAATTTAGTGCTGTTTTGTGGCACTGGAAAATACATGTGTCGATTGTTAGAGAAACTGAAACGCAACAATTGATATAATCAGCGCCATTTGCTGATTGCCTTTGCGGCGGAGCAACATAAAAAGCGAACGCAAAATCAACTTTTGAAAACATGCAATGACCGACCGTTCGTTAGGCCTTATGATAGTCGTTTGTTTTATGTTATTTTTTCAGAATTTAGATCATAAAGCGTCGATAAAAATCGCAGTGCTGGCCGCAGCACGCAGCGGTGGCAGCAACGGCGCCGTCATTGTTGCATGTGGTGTAGGAATAATAAAAGCAACAACAGCAACAAGCCAAACTATGCTGTTGCTCTGCAGTTGTTGTAATAAAACAAATGCCTGAATGAATGAATATAAAAAATTAAATCTATAAAGCGCGAGGAAAATCGTTTATTCGCCTATTCGCCTATTGTTTGCATGTCAAGCGAACATTTTACGGACTGAGCTTTACGGACGCAACTGATATTGGATGAAAAGAAAACAAAAAAAAAAACTAAAATGTTGTTCACTTTTACAGGGCGCCAACAAAGAAATACGCGAAGCCATCGCCGATCCCTCGCCCGAGGTGCAGGGCAAAGCGTGGTCGGCGGTGCTGCCGCTGGTCATAAAGCTGAAACGCTGCTACGAGCACTCCCTGGAGCTGGACAAAACAGTGCCCAAGCTGCTGGGCCAATTGGTTGGCGGCAAACTGAATCCGACACAGCACCTGGAGACACAGCAGGCGTTGGTCAAGCAGCTGGCCGAGATATTGGAATTTGTGTTGAAATTCGATGAGTACAAGGTGAGTAGCCAGCCAAGTTACACGTGCCTGTCTGTGTATATGTGTGTGTGTGTGTGTGTGTGTGTGTGTGTGTGTGTGTGTGTGTGTTTGTATTCGTGTGCGTATCTGTTACAACTTTTGCCTGATTTGGGCACGAGTAACGCCCACTGGACATATCGCTGTTTCAAGGCGCGTGGGTCAACACGAGTTATGTCTTCTTTAAGACCAGGCCAACCAGACCAGACAACCAGTTGGTTTGTTGTCATTTGGTTTTCCTTATGTGGGTGCAACAGCCAGTTGAAGTCTTAGCCAAGCTGCCAACTCATTGCGCGCGTGGTTGCATTTTTAATTGACTGCCAGTTTATCCATCTATCCGTCCGTCTGACTGGCTGGCTGGCTGTCAGTTGAGGCGAGCGCGTGCTGCTGCCCATTGATGAAATATCTTGCGCTCTACAGTGAAGCCTCATTTGGCTACACGCACTCGTTTAAACGGCCTGGCCAACTGTCGGCGCTTCAGTGAGAGGAAGAGAACATCTCTCAAGCCCTTTAGGTAGATCGCTTTTGACGTAGACTCGAAATAAAGCATGTTGAAAATTATTTAAGCTGATAAAAAATAAACAAAACAAGCTAAGAGTGCTCTCTGATCAGGAGTAACCGACGCGGAGATAGTCTGTAACCTTATGCCTCGGATGTTCTTCTTCCCTTAGCTGTAAAATGAATTCTTGAATTATTTCGGCGCTTAAAGTCCGATCTTGAAGTTTTCATGGCTTCAAAATGGCATTCTAATGTTTAATGGGAAAGGAAGATCGATTGGATCCTTGTGCATGCTACATACACAAGCCCAAATCCATGATGGACTTTTTAATCTATTAAAGCACATAATTATTGATAATTATCAAACTTGTAACTCGTAGGATCAGATAGCTCTGTCTTTTTCCCTTATTCCGTTGACATATAAATGTGGACCTTTTATTGTGTGGACCAAACAGAAATCGATTGAAGCACTGGCAAATCTGTGCATGCGCGCTTTTCCATGGCTCGTTTCCGTTGTGTAAAACTTTTATGAAATCGAATCGAATGCGGTTGTTGTGGATCACAGGGAGGGGAAGGGGGGAGTAGGTTTGCGGCAGTGCAGTTTTGACAGAGGGCAATCCTCTCTCGTGTGCAACTTTTATGCTGAAGTTGATAATGATGATGATGTTGACAATGATGATGGTGTCGTTGTGTGTTTAAGTGTCATTTCGGAAATACACACGCACATCCACATGCACATGCACTTCATATACTTATATGTAGGATGCAAACGTGCCTTGCCAACTAACAGTAAAAGGCACTTCCGTTTCTAGGCAATTGCCGCCTTGTCCGCACACTATTGTTGCCTGGGGTGTTCCCTTTTTCCCCCATTTTAGAGTGCGCCTCAAAGTATGCTATAAATTTTATTGACTGAATTCGTTAAACAGATTAAACGTCGACTGTTCAGCAACAGTGATGACTCTCGCTAGCGAACACGCATGGTTCGAATTGCTTTCCTTTCACGGGAGATACCTGATTATGTAGATAATTATTTACATTTGTTTATATTAGGATATTAGAGTATTTTTCTGAATAAGTGAGAAAAAGGATTACAAATACAGAATCTGGCCGAATAAGAGAAGCTCTACTTTAGTTTTGCTTTCACTGTACTTTTTTAATTGGCATAGATCTGGCCACAATTATAAAGATTCTTGGCACACGCACGGAAAGAAAATGGTGTTGCAAGTTTTTGGCACATTTGGTATGTATTCAGTTGACACAGTTTTGCACAAAGTCAGGAATTTATTTCGATTTGTTGACCCAAATGCGGATCACTTGTCAACAAATGTGCTATAAAATGGCAACAATCTTTGCGGATATTTGCGCAAGTAGTCCGAATAATGTTTCTCATATTTCGTCTTAAAGTCGCGTGGTCCAAGTGGCTGAGCTGGCTCAAAGTATCCGTAGTTGTTGTTGGCCAGAGAACGACTGCCGCCGATTTGAACGATTTGGTCCTCCCCGCGTCGGGAATCAGCCACGGCGAGCAGCTCACGTTGCTCCAGTTCTGGTTGGAGCAGCGGTTGTGTGTAGTAAAAGTGGTCATTGTTGTAATTGTGATTGGCAGCGCGTGTGGCCGGCACGTTGTTAATGTTGTTGTTGTTGTTGTTGCTGTTGGTGTTAAACCAATTGCGGCTCCTCCTATCCGATTCCACATTGGCATATGTATCTCTATTGTTGTCGAAATGATTGGGCAAATAACGTCGTTGCTGTTGCTGACGCTCCTGCTCCAGGCTGTTCGCCCCATCATGTACAACAATTGGCGCACTGGACCACACGGACTGCACGGCAGCAGGATAAGTCCGAGTATAGGTCAGTGGTGCGTCCGGATAGCCACTCCATAGAGGCTGCTGGGCCTGGGCCTGTTGCTGATTATAGCCAGCAAACTGACCGTTATAGGCCGATGACGCATATTGGGCCGCTGTGGAGTGTGGCGCTACTAACAACAACAAAACTAACTGAAATATTATGTTACATAACAGCAAACAACAAATTAATCATCTGTGTGTTTAATAATAGAAACAAGTGAAATAAAAACAAAACTCACCCACTTACAGCCTCTGAAGCCGCTGTTGTTGATGTTGATCCGTGTTGCTTGCCGCATTGTTACTTACTGTTAGAACGATTTATGCTAATAACGTATTTATATTAAGTTTTGTTCACATATAATATATATAAAACGTTGTCATGTTTCAAGCGCTCCCTCAAGGTAAATGATGAGACACTCGTCGGCCGTTGGGGCGGCAGCTCTCAGAAGTATATCTCACGCACGACTCCAGTGCAGCCCTGACAGTTAAATAGACTCTGAAATGTATTCGCGTTTTCTGACTCGAAAACTGAGTTTTGGGCCTGGCTGCAAATTACAAAAAATTAAGTCCAATTGCGATGTCACGTACTGCAATTAGAGATAAATGTGGCGACTATTAAAGTGGCTAGCAAAGCAGTTCAAGTAGATTTCGTAAGCAGTAAACTGTTCTACATGCAAATGTAACCTATCAAGCAGTGCACTGCTTGTCGACTTCACACTTACCAAGAGCCGAACTCCCGCAGAGAAGTTATATTGAGCTCATTTCTGTACAGGCACAATCGATGCATCCCAAGCCTTGTGACTGTGACAAGTTTACTTCGAGATGGTCTTTCCCTAGACGATATACAGAAGATTTAATTAGTTTTCTTGCATTAATACAGTACATAGTATATATTAAAAACAAATAGATAAGTATGAATACACTTACATTTTTTTTCGTTCTATTTTAACGTTTAGATGAAAACACCCGCCATACAGAACGACTTCAGCTACTACAGGCGCATTGTTAGTCGACAGCGCGTGGACTCCACGGAAAACATGCTGGTCAGCACAGAGCTGGCGAATCGTATGTCACTATTCTATGCGCATGCCACGCCCATGCTGAAGGTGCTCAGCGAGGCCACATCGAAATTTGTGAATGATAATGCGGACGATGTGCAAAATACAACAGAAACTCTTGGTACAATGGCCAAAGTGTGCCTGCGAATGCTGGAGAATCCGTGAGTGGCTGCCAAACGATATCCATTTATAAGAATTACAATTATTAAAAGACTTACTTGACTTTCCAGTAAACTGCTGCAGCAAATCGAACGGGAGGAGACACAAATGCTGGTGCTGCGCGTTATGGTCGGACTGGTCATACTCTACGATCATGTCCATCCAGTGGGAGCGTTTGCGCGCGGTGCCCACGTGGACGTGAAGGGCTGTGTGCGGCTACTGCAGGCACAGCCAGCGATAAAGGCGGAGCCCCTGCTGAATGCCCTGCGCTACACGACGAAGCATCTAAACGAGGAGAACACGCCGAAGAATATACGCAATATGCTGGCCGCATAATGGCAGAGTCCGGCGTGGAGCAAGCCAAATCGTTTTGTTTATGTGTAAAATTTGTAACGTTAACTTTGTTTAAAGATTTAAACGGTTTTTAATTTATGTAATTAATAGGCTTCTACTACGAGTATATATATATATAGAAATATTATGTTTAAATTGTGTGAATGTTGTGCAGAAAGGAGGCAGCATTTAGTTTTATTTATGCATTTCCAATATTTGTCGTATTAATTTGTAATCATATTTTGTTCTATTGTTTGGCGCCTCCTTGTGAAGTAAACATGCAAATATATATCAAAAACAACCAGCAACAAAACAATATTTAGTTCATAATCTAGCACTAATATTAAGTAATGAACAAACCTATTACAAATTGATTAACAAAACAAATTAGCGCAAAGTATAATACGATAGAAATAAATATCCTAAATTCCAATTTCAACTACTAACCAGAGATTATAAATTTAAATACATTTTTAAATAAAATTTAGCATATTTTTTTGTACATGACTATAAATTACAATTAATTATAAAAAAAAAAGAAAAACACAATACATACCAACTAAAATGGCCTGAACAAACTGAACCATCAAACAGTAAGAAAGCAGATGCATTTATATTTTCACTCTGAACAAAAGATTTGATAAACATATTGAACCGAACCTTTGTATGATTATAAAAGAATGCTGCGCAATAATATTTTAAGACTTACACAAAGAAATTTATAAAACTTGTATTGAAACGAACAAAATCAATCAATCAAGCCAGCGAAACAAAAATAAACTTAAAACACAGACTAAATGATTGCGATTTATGTGCGGTAAGACATGTTGACGAGTATCTAGAATAAATAGTTATTGCGCAAAATGAACTATAACTTGCTTTCTCACCTCACTGAATATGAAAGAACTCTAATTTTATTATTTATTGAAATATTAAGACGCTTGTGAATAATTTCTGTAGATCTTGTTCTGCGATCGGCAATCATAGTTGTCTTTATTCTAAAGATTCTTAACCTTTCATGAATTTTAAATCGTCGCACATATCTATGAAACCCTTCATTAGGCTCCTTTGCTTCTTGAGGTGGATTTTCAGTCCCAGAAGTGAGAGTTTATTTAACGTAATGTGTATCCCCCTGTAAGGGCTTACTACCACGGTACTCTCAATATATATATATATATGAGAACATTAAATTACCTCCTCTAAGTTGTTTTTCTATTCGTAACCCATTAAATGCCTGTTGGGCGGACATGACATGAGGGTTGAGGCCCATCTTAGGCCTCTGCTAGCACCCGGTTGATATGCAACTCCACGCCAAGCATGGTTCTACTCGCGTTTAGGTAAAGTACACTAACCACTATCCACCCACAAAAGGAGGCCAAACTCGGCACTATTTAGTCCTGTGGAATGTCTTATACCGTGACTTACCCCAAATGTGACTCGCCTTACCTGATTAAGGTGCTTCTCCTAAACCTCATGGCTTGGTATGCAGTTTAAGGCTTAGTTGGGTTTTCGGCGCTCAAATTGTGACACTGTCCCGTCTCCTACTGGGCCAGGGATATCACGTCGGAGCCAAAGACACCTTGTGAGAGATATTATGTCTACGACTCGACCTTCTAGATTGGTCCATTCAAAGTTATTTAACGTCTTCAGCTGCTCCCTAATAATCACCATGCCTAAAAATTATTATTTCTATATAAACTTTGTTTCTTTAACAAATTTTTGAAATTTTGATATCTACTTATCAAGAGCTCATGTGAAATATTGTATCATAACTTGCTTAAGGAAAACCCTAAAGATAATAATACATGGATGTCCAGGGACAAAGCCAAACGACTAGCCCAATTAAAGAGTCTGTCCGTGTTGATTTTTTAATTAATATTCTTTATTTTGAGAACGCTTTGCTGCCCATTCCCAAAGAGCCTCACCACATCGCCGGCAAGCTTAGCTTAGCTTAGCCGCAACAGGCCTTCGGGTCATCCTTATTTTGCTCCTGCTTGAGTGGATCGATGGCTACGCTGCGCACGAACTTCGGATGTCCATGATGTTCCGGGGGCGCTGTTTCAGCTGAAATTTGAATACTTGTTTGGTTGGAACTGCAAAACTTATTCGATTAATTTTATCTTGCCTGTTGACATGCTGAAAACAACAGCCAGGACGAGTACGAGCAGAAAGAATATCTTCATGATTGAGCTTGGATGGCGGTCAAGTGACTTCTGTTATTTTCAGTAGGCGAGAGTAAGTATTTATACTTGTTGCATACCGATTTCCTAATAAGCCCTTTGGCACCAAACACTTGGCGTTGCAACTAATCACATGCATTCATTAACAAAACAGTTGACAATTTTTTTTTTGGTTTTATGCCCTGGCAAGAATGCAATAAAAGTATAATTAATTGTGGTTTTCCCGGTTGAAGCTGTGGGCACGCCTTTACGTTCAGCTCTTAACTAAAGTCTTCCACATCAATGTCGCAAGCCTTGGCACGTGATATATTTATACAGTTTAAACTTAACTATCCAATTTGTGTTAATATTATACTATATGGTTCGGTTCCAGCATGAGTTCAAAACGGGTCATTGTAGCCTTGATTATATGTACAGCTCAGATATCTACTTACATATAAAGACTCCTATATACATATACTAACGGGTATAGCCCGGCCTTGCCCGTGGCACGTATGTTATAAAATCAATGTTTTCAGAAAGCTTTGAAATGATTTTGAAACTGATCTGACGGGAATCAAACAACTTTTATGCAAATCGGACAAAACTTAAAATTCAAAAAACAAATCTTTGAAAGGCATTATTTGCATATAGATCTTTGGAAATTGATCCATTTGCACCAAGGAGGGATGGATTTTTCGAAAAGTGTGAAACACCCTTCAAATGAATTTGAACAAAGTACTTTGAAAATAAGTTTGGGGCCGATCGGATCGTAAACAAAAAAGTTACATACAAACGTTTTTCGCGATTTTTCCACACTTGCCCGAAACCCCGTCTTAGCGTGCACCTACATCACATAGGGTAGCTCTTACGGTTTGGGCTGTGCGTTGATCACCAATCAATCAGTCAGTCAGTCAGTCAGTCAGGACAAACAGTTTTATATATAGAGATATTCATGTATATCTGTTGGTCTTCAAAAATATTGTTTCAATGATAAGGAATATATCTATATATATATTCTTCAGCATAAAAATCAAGATTTGCTGTAATTTGTTTCATATTCTTAAATGCATATTGAGTTCACTTTTGGCTTAAGTAAACAAGTGCTTAAAGTTTAAAATATCTACAAAAGGGGGAGCAGAAAATGGAAATTTTCTAGTTGGAAAAAATTTATAAAAATCTTTTCTTGTTTATACAAATATACATACATCTGATATACGTCTATACAAAAATTCGACTGATATCGGTAAACAAATATTTATGGCCAAAGAATGCATTTCTCATAGAGCGGGGCTAAGGGAAGAAGAAGCCCTGCGTCATACAAAACTTTACGTGTTTGCTAACAATTTTTATAAAACTTAGATCGACGTTAACGAGCGTATAGAAAAGCAAGTTATAAAAATATCCACAGGAGGATTTTATAAGTAGTTGCAATTACCCAGCACATTCACGTTATCTGCCAGGCCTCTTATAGGAAGAATCAGAAATACATTTAATTCTTATAAGAATGCATTTCTTATACAAAAATATACGAAGCAACGTTCAGCTTTACCATACTTAAAACATATGAGAGAAGTCCCATAAACCCAAATTTTCGTATGAATTATTTATATACCATCCTTAAACTCAATTAAATATGCGAATTCATAAAATCAAGCTCCAAGCCTCCTGTATATTAAAACATTAAAAGTACATTCATATGGATTTTTAAAATATTGCTTTTTTATTGTTAATACGTGGCATGTTGTGTATCCTGCAACACCTGCATCACCATGCCAATGATGTGCTGTTTAGCCGCAACAACCTTTCGGCTCATCCTTTTCTTGCTCTTGTGCGACATCTTCAACGGCTACGCTGCGCACGATCCTTTCTCCTTTTGGGTTATCGGTTGACAATAAAAACCCACGGAACTCGTTTGCAGCTACAATTTGATTACTTCAATGGTAAGAACTACAAATATTATTCGATGAATTTCATCTTGCCTGCTGACATGCTGAAAACAACACCCAGGAGGATAACGACCAGAAAGAAAATCTTCATCATTAGGTTTGGGTGATGGCTGAGAGGCTTATGTAACTTTACAGTACCCAGGGGTCTGTATTTATACTTGGTTTTGGATTATCGAAACACCTGGGATTACGAACTCACAGAAGTAACTGGGATTTTTTCATTAACTGAACAAGTGTAAATTTAATTAGGTAAATAATTCGCAAAGTTAATAAATTCTCCGGATCTAATGTGCAATTGGCTTTTATGTATCACATGATTGGTTCTCGAAAGTCTCACGGCCCTGCATCGAGCGGTCGACCGTGCTGTAAAGTACATTTTCCAGGCGGTTGCGCATAAAGAATACTGTGTTGGGGCGTTCCATGGAATTCAAGCAGGCATTCTATAGGGTCCGGAACAAGGACCTTCTCTTCAAGCTGAAGTCTCATCTCCCAGCGCCATACCTTAACATCCTCAGCTCCTGGTTTTCTTTCAAGCACTTTCAGCATAGTCATCAAGGTAAAAATTTCTGCAGTAAAGACTGCTAGACCCGAAGCTGTGTACTCTATACACGCCTGATATGCTCTCCTTTGGGTAACACTGTTGACCCTACGCGACTACTGCTGTCGGCTGCACGCTGACCGTGTCATGGTGGCATTACACCAATCCCTGCAAGTATTTCGGTGTCCACAAGAGCTAAGAGCTTGGTCGGGCTCAAAACTGCCCATCACGGTCGCAAGGGCTCTGGCAGACCCCATTATTAAGAGGCGAATCATTAAACGACACCAATCTTTTTCATAATTTTCCCAATTTTCGCTTGTTAAAGTTCAGAAGACAATGAACGATTCCAGCGAGCAATAATCAATAAATCTGTCTAGATCCATTAGGATTTTAAGTGAACATTAAATAAATATTGAATTTAGATCGTAATATATTTGACAAAATTAGACAATACTTACCAGCTAAGGCCTACATACTTGTCGTATTAATTTTGGCTAATTTCGCCATTATGTTGAGCTGCAATTTGTCAGTTGTTTGATTCTTCAAGGCGTTCCATGATCCAGAAATGATATATATTAAATTTTGTTTTGGTCGATTGCAGAAATAAATAAGAGCTCGAACAAGTATATGTACAATGGAGCTTTTTTTTATAATTTAACCAAATGAAGCGTACTTAAATAATTAAATTTGATGTATGAATTAAACTAAGTTTTTGGATGCGAAAAAGCTATCATCTTGGAAGTATGCATCATAGTCATTGGATTAGTGGGGCAAGGCAAAATGAAATTAATATCCGTATACAGCTTCATGTGTTGCCGTTGTTATTACATTGACGAGGCTTTAATATTAACTTTCCAGTGTGTGGCTCCAAGTCGAGGGCAAAATCTGTGAGCACCGTTCGTGTGCGCGACGTGATTATCGACGGCGCCACAACTAGCTTCTGTATGCCCAAAATGAAGAGCACTATCAATGTGACTGTGGCCACAGTAAAGATGGGGTGTATCCAGAGCGATTCCGTCAGCGGTACAACGGTCGTACGTGGGTCTCTCAGCCAGTACCAGGCACTGATAGCCGTGCATACCGACAATGCAGATAGTATAACTATCAGAAGTAATTTGATTAGGTCGTAAATGCGCTAAGTTCAAGAAGGAAAAAGTTGTTCTTACTACGCCAGCGGAACGTGGATGGCCTGTACGATGAAACCACCTCGGTAAGGCGCCGTTCGAATGCCTTCAAATCTTCGCAAGCTGATGGTTCCATCGCGCCAATTTCCTCGATGCTCGTGGCTGTTTTGATGTGTTTGAAATTGTCCAGCTTATTTGTGTAATTTTTTCCTTTAATTTGATAAGATTTCACATTTGATTTGTTTTTGTGTTGAGGTTGATCTTAAATAATGCCAAATATAAATACCCAAAAAATACTTATACCACATACTAAACGTAATTTTGAAATGCGCCTAGGTAAACAACTAGCAGCTGTTCTTTGTTCTTTTCTAACACTACATTTTATCATATCGCAACACTTCGCTATCAAATACGTTAACAAACACTAACCGAGTCCGCCAGAAATAATTTGCTGAAAAAATATCTTGATTAAATATGAGCAGCAAAGAATGGAAACGCTTGGTCAAGTTGGAATACATGAAGATACGCCAGCAAAAGCGCTACAAACGTGCTGATGAAATTAAGGAGGCGTGGATTAAAAACTGGTAAACATGCCGTGCCGGATAACGTGTCACTTAGCGTCTATTTAATTGCATTTGCGCTTTTCTTCATTCAGGGATGAGCACAACCACAATGTGCAGGATTTGTACTGCGAATCGAAAGTGTGGCAGGCAAAACCCTATGATCCACCGCACGTTGACTGTGTGAAACGCGCTGAGGTTACCAGCTACAATGGCGCCAACAGTGGCCCGCAGCGTGTGCCTATTTGTGTAATCAACGCCGTCACGCCCATACCCACAATGTATACATGGGCGCCCACTCAGCAAAATTTTATGGTCGAGGATGAGACTGTGCTTCACAACATACCGTATATGGGTGACGAGGTGCTTGACAAGGATGGCAAGTTCATAGAAGAGCTGATCAAGAACTACGATGGCAAGGTGCACGGCGACAAGGATCCATCGTTCATGGATGATGCCATATTTGTGGAGCTGGTACATGCTTTGATGCGCTCGCATAGTAAGGAGTTGGAGGAAACAGTGACGAGTCCATCTGCCAAAACAGAGACATCAACCGCACCAAAATTAAAGGAAGAAGATGAGAAAACAGAGACCACGGCATTGTTAGAGCCAACGGCAGCAGCTTCTTCGTCTGCTGCTGAAGACAAGGAGGCTGCGCCTGCTGCAGTTATTGCAGACACAAAGTGCAAAGTAGAGAAAGTTAAGGAGAAGCTGCCGTTTCCAGCACCTATCATATTTCAGGCAATCAGCGCCAACTTTCCGGACAAGGGCACTTCCCAGGAGCTAAAGGAAAAGTGTGTTATGCCACACACGCCGTGTGTGTGTGTTTACATCTTTGCAATTGTATGTAAAACGTGTTCTTCCATCCAGGTACATCGAGCTTACCGAACATCAGGATCCCGAGCGGCCGCAGGAATGCACGCCTAACATCGATGGCACCAAGGCGGAGAGCGTTTCACGTGAACGGACTATGCACTCGTTCCACACATTGTTCTGCCGGCGCTGTTTTAAATATGATTGTTTCCTTCATCGTAAGTGGAATCGTTGTGCTTCGCCTCCAGTTGGGTTGCTCTTAATAACCTTTTGTTTTGCTTTTTCTCTTTATTTGGAAAACAAACAAAAATTGTTGCAAAACATTTCTTTTGTCTAAAAAACCTCTTAAAATTTTGTAAAAAAATAAAAAATAACTGCAATTTAGGTCACCATGTACAGGGTGAGTCGTTGTTGTAGTTGTTGTTTTCGATAACCACACGCACACACACTCATGCCGCCTAGGCCCAAATGTCGCCTTGCTCCACATCATCATCAATCTTTCCTATATATATATATAATTTATGTCTGTGGAAATCGGCAAAAATGTCTTGTATCAAAATTTTCTTGGTGTTTCTCGCCTCATTTCATGCGGCTTTTGCATCCTTTCTTATGTAACGTATCTGTTTCATGCTCTAACCCTAAGCGTCTCATAGTCATGTCCTTTAGATAAGACCTGATTCCAGTTGTGCTAAAATTTGCATTTTCGATTCACAGGCTTGCAGGGACACGCTGGTCCCAATTTGCAAAAGCGTCGCTATCCGGAATTGAAGACCTTTGTGGAGCCCTGCAGCAATTCCTGTTACATGTTAATTGTGAGTTGTACATTTTAATTATGTTCACCATTTAAGTAAATATTATTATCTTGCTAACAGGATGGCATGAAGGAGAAGCTAGCAGCTGATAGCAAAACGCCGCCTATAGATTCCTGCAACGAGGCCAGCTCCGAGGACAGTAACGATAGTAATAGCCAGTTTAGCAACAAGGATTTCAACCCCGAGAACGGCAAGGATAATGGCATAGCTGTCAATAGCGCGGAAATTAACTCCATTATGGGTAAATTAAATACATTTCGCTGATCGAATGCTCACTCCGAAGTCTGCTTGCTCTAATATTTTTCTTTTATACAGCTGGCATGATGAACATCACCAGCACGCAGTGCGTATGGACTGGCGCCGATCAAGCGCTCTTTAGAGTCCTGCACAAGGTGTATTTAAAGAATTATTGTGCAATTGCACATAATATGCTTACAAAGACCTGCCGCCAGGTGTACGAATTCGCGCAGAAAGAGGCCGCCGAGTTTAGTTTTGAGGATTTGCGTCAGGACTTTACTCCGCCGCGGAAGAAGAAGAAAAAGCAGCGCCTATGGTCGCTGCATTGTCGCAAGATACAGCTGAAGAAAGACGGGTCATCGAATCACGTGTACAATTACACACCCTGCGACCACGCCGGTCCCTGCGACATGAATTGCTCCTGCATACAAACGCAGAACTTTTGCGAGAAGTTCTGCAACTGCAGCAGCGATTGCCAGAATCGTTTCCCAGGCTGTCGTTGCAAGGCCCAGTGCAACACTAAGCAATGCCCTTGTTATTTGGCTGTACGAGAGTGCGATCCTGATTTATGTCAAGCTTGCGGTGCCGATCAATTTAAGCTGACCAAAATCACTTGCAAGAATGTTTGCGTGCAGCGTGGATTGCGTAAGTAGCTTGTCGTCACAGTTACCATTCCAATTATGCTTAAGTTTTGTAATTGCAGACAAACATTTGCTGATGGCGCCCTCGGACATTGCCGGCTGGGGCATTTTTCTCAAGGAGGGCGCACAAAAAAATGAGTTCATATCGGAGTACTGCGGCGAGATAATCTCGCAGGACGAGGCCGATCGTCGTGGCAAGGTTTATGACAAATACATGTGTTCATTTTTGTTCAATTTGAATAACGACTTTGTTGTGGATGCCACACGCAAAGGCAACAAAATTCGATTCGCCAATCATTCGATCAATCCCAATTGCTATGCCAAGGTCATGATGGTCACTGGCGATCATCGTATCGGAATCTTCGCTAAGCGGGCCATACAGCCAGGAGAAGAGCTCTTCTTTGACTACAGATACGGGCCCACTGAGCAGCTCAAATTTGTTGGCATCGAACGAGAAATGGAAATCGTATAATATACTTACATTTATATTCGACAAAAATGATCTATCCAACTAAATAAATATATATATTGATCCATACCTAAACTGTTTTCGCCACATTGGCTATAATTGGTTTGGGTCGCGATTTGAAAATTAGCTTCTTTGTGCATATGGCACGCACCGTATACTCGGTTCGTTGACGACTCTTGTGCTCCAGTGCTACTGTTTCATCAAGTAGAGTACGTTCGGCTCCTGCGGTGGCATTCAAGGCGCTTGCTTCTAGCGTTGCATTAGTTATATTCAGCAGCTGCTGCCCTTCATTAGTCTTTGATTTTTCTAGCACTGCAAACGGTTTGTCCAGCTTCTGCTCGCGTCCTTGCAGAATATGATGGCCTATGATTAGTATCTGAAAGTATTATCAATACACATTTTATCTTTTAAGAGGCATTTTAATAAACTACGTTAACCTACAGGCTGGCCATATTTGTTGTAGTACAGATCGCCTATGAACTGATCGTGCATGCTTTGATTGCTGCGCACCTCCAGGTCACCCTGCAGTTCAATGATGGCCCATTCGCCAGCGCCAGCACTGGAACTAAAAAAGAGAATTTCAATTAGGCGATAAAAGATAGTTTTTAGTCAGGGAAAAGAGAATTCCAAGTTGAGAATTTAAAGAAACACAATATAGTCAGACTGAAATACTTTTATTATGCTGTAAATCCTCTATATCTATCCTCTAAATTTCTTAAACAAAGGATGCACGCTGCCGACGTTCTTGCGTCGATGCTCGTAGTAGATGGCATCATCACCACCTGACATTGAACTGAGGCCGCCCATACGTCTTGTAGTGCCGCCAGCACCGCTGGGACGATAACCCGGTTCGCCTGGCACTTTTTCATCCTCGCAGTCTAAGTCGGAAGCAGACAACACCAATTGCAAGAGCTGGCCCTGCTCTTCCTGTGTGCCGTACATTAGATCAGTTTCGGTGTCCATGCCCTTAAGGTGTGTAATAACCTTGTAGCTATAGCCCTGATTCACAAGGAAACGCTGACGCTTGCGCGAATAGCTCATCTCCATTGTATCCTGGGAAACGAGCGTGTAAAAGAATGCATTGTATTCCTCGGCAATGGCACCCTTTTTGGCGCGTAGAATGCGACCCAAACGCTGTGCCTCTTGACGACGTGAGCCACCATGCGACGAAATTTGAATGAGCACATTCGCCTCGGGCAGATCAAAACTAGTATCGGCCACTTTGGACACAAATATGGTGTTGACCTATCACAAATCAGAGTAGAAAATGAGCGTACCGTTTTGTCGCGATGCAGTCACAATTCACATACCTTGGCATTAAACTTGAAATTCTGTAGGATTTGTATACGTTCATTCTGGGATGTGGGTCCGTAGATGAACGGCTTGTTCATCTTGATGGCATAGTGCTTCAAGGCAAACACATTGTCAGAGAAGACAATAGTCTTGTCGCCACGTTTCTCATGGTATTTTATTAGAAATTGGCAGCTGCGAAACTTTGAGGGGTTCATCACATAGAGCAACATTTTCTTAGATGTCTTGGTGGTTAGATATTCACGATAGAACTCCGGTGACATGGGACACCATACCTCGGCACACTGCACGCGTGCTATGTAGCCCTTCTTTTGGAGCTCTAGCCAGTTTGCCTCGTACAGTTTGGGACCAATTAAAAAATTAAGGTCCGCAATTTTGTCGTCCTCACGCAGCAGCGTGGCCGTTAAGCCAAGCTTGCAGTGGGACTGCACAATGGTGAGAACTCGGCGGAACATCTTTGCGGGAATGGTGTGTACCTCGTCCAACACCATGATGCCCCATTCTTGCTCCTGCAGCCAGCGCATAGTTTGTTCCGCCTCCCATGAACGCTTCTGTGTGTGCGTAATCATAGAGTATGTGGTAACTAATATGCCACAGCCCATGGGTTTATCCTTTGCCTCCGATGTGAACCGGCAAATCATGCTATCATCTGCCGTGGACCACATCTTGAACTGCTGTTTCCACTGTTCCACTGAGACACCACTGTTGCACAGCACCAATGCCCGCTTACGCACTGTACAACAAGCGGTGACACCTACCAAAGATTTACCTGCGCCGCACGGCAGTACAATTACGCCCGAGCGGGCTCGCCCATTGCCAAACATTTTGCGCAGGCTCTTTTCCTGATATGGACGCAGAACGGCTGCTGGCTTCAGGTCTATATTGATATCTGGATTGTTGGTATCATTGCGGAAATCATATTCTGCCAACAGCGGATGCTCGATTTCAATGCAGCGTTTTTGTATCAGTTCAATTTTTTCTTGTGATACCTCAAATGATACCGTTTTCAGATTAGCTTCGTCTTCATCCTCCTCTTCCTTGTCAATCTTCTCGTAAAAGTCAGTAATGTCCTCGGGGACTGTAACAGCTACAGCGGCACCTTCCGCGGGTGCGGCGCCTGCAGTTGCTGCTGCTGAGGTGCTAGCCGGTTCTTCTCCTGGCTTATCAGCCCCCGGCGGCAACTTAGTGCCAAACTGTGTAATAGCTTTACCATCCATGGTGCCCTGTATAAAGCCCTCGCCCTCGCTGCGTATGAGTCGACACTTTTGTATGACCGGATCCTTAAGCAATTTCTGCAGCACCTCTGGATGTGGGGACTCAATAAAATATTTGTTATGCTTCAGCACGAGCTTCACTTTGCCGTACGATAGCGTACAAAGGCGAATGAATTCTAATATGCCTTCTGGGATTGTGGTCTTGCTCAAGCGCTTCAGATACTCCACAATGTCGTGTGTTTGCAGTCCTACAGACACAGCTGCATACAAACTATAGGCCGTCAGTTTGTACTCGTGAATGTGTTCCGGCCGACAGACTGGCTCCGAGATGGCAATGAGAAAGTCATGGGCATGCTTGTAGACCGGCGAAAAGGACTCAAGAAACACGTGTCCATTGGGTGCCACCCACAATGGGCGATTGGCGTGATCTGGGCGCAGTTGCATCTGACTGCGATAATCTTTTGCACCGTACTCGTCTGTGTTGATATTCTCATCATTGGTTTCGGCGTTCTTTGACGCGGCGCCGGGCACCCCGTCTGACTCACTGGCGTTGTCCATGCTATCATTGTCTTCCACAAGCTGGGTGAACGCCTCATCTTCTGCGCGACGCTTCTTAGCTGTGAAGTCGTATCAGTTTTACCACACAATCGGGTTACTCTGGTGCTGTGCTTACCAAATTTATCGCTCGCGCCGCGGTCTTTTTTTGATTTTTTTGGCGGCCCCATTGTGAAATATTGTTTCGGTGAAACTTTATTTCAATAATGAAACAGCTGTTTGCAGTGTTGGGAAGTTAATCGCAGAGACGAAAAAGGCGCGAACATTGACGAAAATTGGCAACTTTGCTACATGAGCTTTGTAGCTTTGTTCAAACAGTTTTTAAACATATTGCGATATCTAAAATTGTAAACAAATTTACTTACGTTTTGATGATGATAGGCATATTTTTCTTTTATAAATGCACCTCAAAATATCAACTCTGTATTATTGGACGTCCGAACAACAAGTGCAGTGCTGTTGATTACAGCGCGGCTGCTACTACACGCAAGCGTTGCCACATCAGTGAAAAACAGCTGTTGGGCCCATGTTAATTAACAGACGGTCAACATATATTTAACAGTGAGCAGTGCTATTGATTACAGCGCGGCTCCTCCATGTAAGCGTTGCCACATTAGTAAAAATCAGATGTGCAGCCATGTTACATTAAATGAACTAGTGCATTTGGCTCGCATATGTAAAAATTTAAGTTGAAGCCGTGCTTATAATTTTGCATTATATTGGAAAGAGATTTCCAATCTGATTAAAAACTCAATATTATCAGACTTAATTATGAGCTGTGCAGCCATGTTACATTAAATGAACTACTGCATTTGCCTCACATATGTATGTAAAAATTCAAGTTGAAGCCGTGTTTATAATTTTAAATTATATTGGATAGAGATTTCCAATCTGATAAAAAACTCAATATTATCAGACTGAAATACTTCTATTAAGCTGTATGCAGTCAATTATCCGTTAAAAGACGCTCTTGTGTCGATGCTCATAGTAGAGGGCATCATTACCACCTAACATTGAGCTGGGTCCCATTAGTTGTGTTGTGCAGCCAGAGCCGCTGGGACGGTATACCCGGTTCGCTTGGCACTTTCTCACCCTCGCAGTTTAAATCACAGGCAGACAACACCAACTGCAACACTTAGCTCTGCTCTTGTTATGTTATGTATATTAGGTCAGTTTCGGTGTCCATGCCCGTAAGTTGTGTAATAGCTTTGTAGCTATAGCCCTGATTCAGAAGGAAGCGCTGCATCTTGCGCGCATAGTTGTATTCTGGGAGACAACCGTGATAGTGAATGCATTATATTCCTCGGCAATGGCACCCCTTCTGGCCCTTTCAGAGCAGGCATATCAAAACTGGTATTGGCCACTTTTGACACAACGATGGTGTTCACCTGTTACCAATGAGAGCATAAAATAAGTATATAGTTTTATCGGGATGAATTATGCATTAACCTACCAAAGATTTTCCTGCGCTGCACGACAGTACAATTACTACGCCATAGCGTGCACGCCCATTGCTAAACATTTTGCGCTGGCTCTTTTCCTGATTAATATTAATATCCGTATTGTTGGAATCATTGCGAAAATCATACTCTGCCAGCAGCAGATGCTCGATTTCAATGCATCATTTTTGTATCAGCTTAATTTTATACTGTGATAGTTCAAAGCAGAGCGTTTTTAGATTGGTATCGTCTTCATCTATCTTTCCCTTGTCCTTTAAAAGTCAGTCATGTCCTCGGGCACTGTAACAATGCTGCTGCTGAGGTGCTGGCCGAATCTTCCCCTGGTTTATCAGCCCCCGGCGGCAACTTGGTGCAAAAATGTGTAATAGCTTTACCATTCATGGTGCTCAGTATAAAGCCCCCGCCCTCGCTTCGTTTGAGTCGATACTTTTGTATGAGCTTCACTTTGCCGTTCGATTGCGTACAAAGGCGTATGAATTCTAATATGCCTTCTGGAATGGCTCTGTGTGCCGCCCACAATGGACGATTTGCGTGATCTACGCCTCATACTCAACGTGGTCTGCTGCATGAGCTATGTTGTTTTGTAATTGTTGCGATAACTAGATTCTTCAACCTTCCCACTTACGTTTTGATGATAGAAATATTTATTTTTATAAATGCACCGCAAAATATCAACTATGCACTAGTGGAGGCCCGAACAATATGCTAGTGCAATATTAGTGCAGAGTTGTTAATTATAGCGCAGCTGCTAGCGCTGCCACATTAGTGAAACAAACAGCTGTTGGAGTCATGTTAATTAACAGACGGTCAACATTAAATTAACTGCTGCGTATTCCGTTCATATGTTAAATTTAAATTATGGCGGTTTTTACCATTTTGAATTCTATCGAACAAATTGACTAATAATTTATATTTAACCGTTACTAATATTATCCAAGTAAAATTTCCACTGCAAAAATAGTTTCTTTTAATGCAAATACCATAAGAATCAAAATGACTAAATGCAATTCTTACAAGTAATTAGCGGTGTCTTTTACCTTACAAAGATTTTTTTTTTGACAACTAGATTCGTGTGCTTTGTGATAGCACTCACCTGAATAAAAAATAACTAAAATTCCACTATTTGACCCTGAAGGATGGCCGCAACTAAAAACAAAAAGAAAAAATCGAAGAAAGGTCAAACAAACTTAACACCAGCGCATTTCCTACGTGCGAATTTGTGGAAAATATGTCTTGCCATTGCCATATTCGATCTGGCGCATGCGCTTTTTTTTGTTTTCCAAGCGACCATTTCATTGGTCACGAGAGTAAGTAAGTCAGATATTTGGATAAATCTATGAGGCCTTTAAGACACTCTTAAAATCAGTTCAATATGTACTCAACATTGGCGCTACTGGGAACTATATTTTGGGTGCTTATGGTGGTACTGTTTATTGTGGGTCTGTGGAAGGTGCGTAGAAATTGCTTCGATGGTTAAATTAACGTTAGATAAGAAAAATCTGTAATAATTATTATATCATATAGAGACGTCCTGTATTTGTTAAAGCCTGGCTTATCTTCTCTATAATTGGTTTTCTCGCGGATATAGGATTTTTGATCTGGGGAATCGTGTCGTCGGTAACAATCGACTGGAATAACTTGAAAGAGTTTACCATTATATTTGTGGGAATTTGTACGTGAGATTCTGTTTCACGGTGTTACATATCTTATGGTATTTTAATTACAGTTATCGAGAGCACCTGTATATTCGTGGTACACAGGTACTATTTGGGTATGGATCCCTGCCGATTGGTCGATGAGCCCGAACGTGGCGGAAAGAAAAAGTCAAGGAAGCAGCTTGATAAAAAAGCTTGTAAAGGTAGGAGTAACATGTATAATTCTTCTATCACCCAATACATATACAAAAAAATATACTATATTTACCATTTATAGAGAGCAAAAAGAAGGAAAAGAAGCAAAAGAAGAAGCAAGAAAAGAAAAATAAGAAATAAAACTAATCCTTTTTTTAAGATTCTGAGTGTCAAAACCTGCAACGTTGTTAATTTAAGCTTATCTTAGTAGGCATAATTGCCTGCGCCCATTAAATATATTTTGAATATATATACAACAAAATTTTATTACTTTTTATACATTAACATATTAAAGGGTTTCAAGATGGAAGATCAGCAATCGGAAAACATCCCAATCGACGATCAGTGTGATACCCCGATTGGTATAAGTCTATTGCAAATTTGTTATTTTATTGCCTTGTTCGATTTTGCTCAATCAATTTACTTTTTGATTCAGTCCACCAGCTTATTGGCATTGAATGTCTGTATCACAGAAAATGATGTATTTCCTATATATTTATGAACTATCTGGACCCGCAGGTAAATCTTTACTCAATGGTTGCTTTCGCGGGATCGATATTTTGGATTTTGATGGTAATTCTGCTTATTGTGGGCCTCTGGAAGGTATGTTAGCTGGATAAGTAATTTGTAAACTTTCTTATAATGAAAGCGTTCTCATGAGTTACAGGGGCGTCTCCGATTAATAATTTGTTGGTTGATTTTTTCGATAATTGGGATTATTGTTGACATATTCTTTTTCGTCTGGACAATTTCAAATTCCGAGTATGTCCAATGGGCACAAATAATACAGTTTACTCTTCTATATCTCGGCATAGGTAATTACCTAGCTTTATTTATAATGTGGTTCTTAAAAAACAAAACAACTTAACTTTTGCAGTTGTTGAATGGTTGTGCATTTATATTGTCTACAGATACTGTTTAAATATAGTTTCGTTACCTGCCAATAGTGAACAGGAGGATCGCCCAAACCATGATCGCCCGATTAAAATGGCGCCTTCGGATCAGCAAAAGGAAAGCTCCAGAAATACTATGACACCAAAGCCAAAAAAGTATATATGTAAGCCAAACAGCCTTTAATAGTGAATAATCTCTTTTTTTTTGCAATAGAAAACGATACAAGACAGTAATTGTTGAAAACTCGAGCAATCGAACTCGAGGTCCCGAATTTATAGAGAAAAATGAGAAAAAACATGAGACAAGTGTCGATACGCCGAAAACGCCTCGCGATAGCTTAGAAAAAGGATCTTATAAGGATAAAAGGATTGGACACTAAATTTCAACATATATTTAATACTCTGATTGACCAAGTTTATTATACCCACATTACACATGCAGGAACTCGCACATCTCTCCGCAAAAAGGCAAAGGCACGAGTATACCTATATAAAAAGATAGATATATAAAGATAATAGATTCCGATTGGCGTTTACACTTCAATGCTAAAATCAGTTCGTTTCTAACAGCACAAAAATAATAATTGAATTTGATAGATGTCTTTTTGCTCATTTTTATTTTGCCATGTCTAGTCCATCAGGAAACTTTTACTTGGGCGAGTCACGTTGTCAATGGGGCAAAATCTAATCTCAACACGGCCATGAGGCAGCAGCTGACAAAACAAATGCCGTAAATGAATGATGGCCAGAAGACTTGGCGCAAATCAGCGCAAATCAGCGCAGCGAATGCACAGTGGGCTTAAGTTATGAAACATGTCAATTTTAATGTAAATAAATATAAATATATACATGTTGTTTCAAAGATGTGCTAAGCTCATATATAACCGTTATATGGTATACAACGCTGTAAATCGGGTTTGAACAGAACCGATGTGAACCGAATTCCATTTTTTTATACTATGAACAGAACCTTAAAACCAAACCAGTTGCTCTAAAAACAGCAAAATTCCCGCATTCCCAATGCATGCATAATCTGGGCCCCATTATTGGGTTTATCTAACCAAATTTTGTGGATTCCAATTTGTGGCAGATATCTAATTATGACCGCAATTTTTATAAAGTACGATATGCAATACTTTCAGTATAACGCCCAATTAAAAATGGAATTGCCCTACAAAATTTTAAGTACATGACACCCAGGTTTGAACCAAAACCCGGGTTCAAGGAGATTGTGAGTTTTTTCAAACCGAAAACTGACCTCTATTTTTGGGGTTTGCAGCTCATAGAGTACATATATATTTTTAATATATATGAGCATATATTTGTTTTGGACTATATAGTACAGCTTCACTGTTGCGACTACTCAGCTCTTGGCAATCAAATGGCATTGATTAAGAAGCAGGGTTGGCAATGGAATGCTTCTCGCCTTCCCCTTTATTGAAACTACGTGCTTATAATCATTACAGCTTTGATTTAGTGCACAGTTTTGCCCTACGTTTCAAGTACAGCTGAAATGTTTGCTGGATGAGAATGGACGGCTCCTCTGATGGCTATTTGGTAGTTTGCAGCTATACAATTGCAGTACTGGATCTCATCTCCGCGGTGCTCTTTGCAAGTATCTCGGGCATGCTATATGCACAACACGTAAGCCATGTCGCTTTAGTCTGGGGCTCAGTCAAGTAAGTGCCACAATCCATAGAGTCACTGGACGTCGCTGGCAGCGCTCATCTTTTCTATTATTTGGATGTGCATTATTTTGATTTTGTTGCTGGGCATTTACCGGCGACAGTTGAACTATGTGCGCTACTGGCTGGTTTTCACCTGCTTGGGCATTATGCTGGATGCGATTCTTTTACTTTATGGATTGACACTGGCCGTCTCAATAAATTGGGAGGGCGTCAGGATTACCCTAATGCCGTTTATAGGCTTGGGTGAGACCCTATTTCCAATCGCTTTTCAATGTTATATGTCAAACTATCCTGTTACAGCTGTGGAAATGACTTTTGTGTACATTGTCTATATATTCTATTTGGATATGATAGAGCAAGAACAGTGGATACCGTTGTCTAGTCACAGATGTAAAGGCGGCTGCAGTCCTAAGAAAAACAAAGAAACTTCCCGTAGCAATGACACACAACGCAGGGAGCGCAAGCGTCTTAAGAAGATGTACAAGAGAGAGGAGAAAGCTGCCTTAAAGGAGCTGCAACGCAAGCTCCGTCGGGGTCAAGTCTAATGACCCTCCCACTATAACTATAACTTATGCCTTTCTGTCAAATCCGTTGAAAAGTAGGCCAAGCCTTTTTGGTGCTCTATTCTCAGATAGCCTCACAAATGTCGTCATGCAGCTGGAGAAAGACTCGCTCCTATATTGTGCCTATGCCATAGCCGTTTTTGATCTGCTCTGCGGTGTTCTCTTTGCTGCGCTCAGTCTCTGCAAGATCTTCACCCATGTAAGCCCCGTTTAACGTAGTATACGAGTATCTAATAGATTTCGCTTAACAGTTGAGCTGGCTAACCATATTTGCGGTCTGCTTTGGTCTGTTTTGGCTGACATTGATTGTTATGCTTTTCACAGGCATCTATAGGGTAAGTTAATATCAACGATCGTCCATTTTAATACCCTATAAATATTTTCCTTTACAGCGTAAATCGGATCTGGTCCGGTATTGGCTTATCTTCTCATGCGTGGGCATTTTTGTGGAGACCTGTCTGATCATTTATGCTTTTCTGAGCGAGAGCACATTCCAGATGGGCCTTGCCAGCAATAGTCTGGTTCTCTGCCTTGGTTTATGTAAGCAACATCTATATATGAAATGCTTTGCAAGTTCTCTGTTCATCCTGCCTTTTTCCCACAGTTGTTGAAACCATTTTTGCGTTCGTTATCTATCAGTTCTATCAGGTGGTAGCGACATGCAATCCTTGTGCCCAGCAAACCTATACGCCTCCGTGTCAAGCTCCGCAGCCACAGCCACCACCACCACCATCGCCAAAGCCGAAGCCACAACCAGAGCCACAAGTTTGTCCCGCGTCGACCCACAAAAGTTCCCATTCCTACAGATGCAACATACTGCAAACTAGGGACTACAATAGTCCGTACACCTGCGGACCAAAGCGGGGCGTTCATAAGCCTTTCAAGCTAGACGAACGGCGCAGCCAGCGATAGAATGTCCATTCGTTTTTTTAGAGTTGAGTTATATTTTTTTATATGAGTGTATTGTAAATAGAGGGAGTATAAAATAGAGTACGATTCTATAAAATGCATATTTAATGCACTAAATAATATATATTAAAATATCTGTAATAAAGCATGCGTTGACAGAAAATGATATTTATGCACAGCTTATAAACGATCCGTTTAAAAGCAAATTTAAATTATTTTTGATTTCTGATAAAGGTCGTATATAAAGGGACCTCATTTAGCATGTTGCCTTTGACTAGTTAGCGAGCGCCTTTAAAATTATACCATTTAATATGCACACAACACGCATGCAACACACACACTCACACACCCATTTGGCAATGTTAAAAACAAAATCCTTTTAAAATAATTTGCACAGTGGCAAAAACGAAATACAAAAAACAAAAAAGAGAAGAACGGAAACGGAAACAGCAACTCACAACTCGAAGCTGCCGCAAGTCTAGGGGCTGACTTGGCAGTCAGCGAACTCTTGTCTATTTATGCAAAAAATGTGCGCGTATTTACATATACATTTATACTTATAATGCCAGGCTGATGAAATACGTGCGGTGGGTAGGCACACACAAACACACACACGTGCACACGTACACACACGCGTGTGACTTCCCTGATGTCAAATATAATTTTCTTTTTTCGCGTTCATTTTGCACGCATGGGAAACTCCCCTGGGTGGCACAAAATCTTGCAGTTCCAGCAGTTTAAACTTTAAGTTTTTCTTGTCAAGAGAGAAGCGAACAGTAAGCAAACGAGAAATTAAACAAATCTATGAAAAGCGAGAATGGTGAGCGCATTGAACGGCTTCGGCATGGCAATTGGCTGCATGGACATCACTGGAGCCGTCTTCTTTGAGCTGATGATTATTTACATGCTGTGTCGAAGAAACGGCGGCAGGACAACAGCTGACGACTCAAAGGAAAAGCAGCAGCAGCAGGGACATGTGGCAAGTAAGCGGTTTAAGGGAGGCCCGTTGTGCCCTGCAATTTCTCACAGTTCCCAAAATATTTCCAGCGTTCTATGGCAACAGGGTACGCCCTTGGATGCTGTGGATTTATCTGCTCCTATTGAATGTGTGGATAGTCGTTTCAATGCTCATGGTTAGTGGCATTATATTGGTGCGTAGTGCTCAAACTTGTTTATAATGCGGCATCGATTGATAGCGGCTTCCACAGCATAAGCCGCAGCTGCTGCTGTTCTGGCTGGTCTGGTGCTTTGGCGGACTTATATTCGATGTGGTCTTTGTGGGTTTGTGGATCGTGGAACTGCTATCGGGCGATGCCATTGAGGCCCTGACCAACATTTTGATTTCATTACTAACAATGGGCAAGTCTCCTCTACGTTCATGCATGCCATTCTTTATCTAACCGATTTTTGCTGATTTTTTTAGCAATTGAATTTTCCTTCATTTACGTTATATACAATATTTATGGGAATTTAACAAAGTCGCCCAAGGAGCAAGACATCAACGGCAATTCCTTGCTGCGCTTTTCACACTTCTTATTTTAATTTAACAAATACTTATTACAAACAATAAAAATCTTGCTTCAAACATTTATTTCTTCTGCTGGCTCACTTGGCCTTCAATTCGGCTGCTTTCTGGTCAAGCTGAACCTTAGCCGTTTTCTTTGGGAACTCCAGGGATCTGAAGAATCTGTAGACGATCAATATGATACCGATACGAGCCAGTACTTGACCAATGAGTGAGGCATATTTATCAGATATCTCCTGCATAAACTCCTGCTTGCTTTTGTACTTCTCGGTGAACACATATTCGTACATATTGTAAAACAGTTTTCCAACGTCTCCCCATTGTATCTGAACATAGGCCATAAGCAACCAGAGTTTCACCATCAATCTGTGACGCTGTTAATTGAAAATCTATTTAAGAACTAAGAACTTCATCAATATACCAAATTTACTGCTTACGCTAATGATGCCAACTGCCAGGACTCCGAAGCAGAGAATCTTGCACATGCCCCCAAACAATATCATAACATCCACCATGTCAAACTATTGAGCGTAAAGATCGTTGAAAAGCGCTTGGTTATGGCCTAGACTTGCTTACCTTCATAATTTTAGATAAGTTTACCATTTGAACCATGGTAAGGAATGCGGCGGAAGCCTCATAAACAAGCGCCATGTAGCCAGCGCAGTTTATAATTACCGACATTTTAATTTTTTGAGTTTGACTTGATATCGTTGAAATAGCAATTGTTGTTATATAAACTGTTGCTTAAATAGCATATATTATTATTCAAAAAATTGTTTATTGTTTTCAAATATTCAGCCTGCTAATCACAAGCAATTTCTAAAGACTACTTTACTTTAAGTAAGCCAAATCTTTATTTCAAATTCTCAGACAAAATGATATATCTATTTCTTCATATTGCATTGCTGCATAAAGAGAGGTCTAAGAGGTTCGTGACCCCTATGAGGAAAAGCTAGAAGAATAAGGAACTTCTGCAATTGTTAACTTGGCGCCATTTTTAATTGGAAACTTTATTGTTGCGTTGTGTTTCGCATTCAAGTGCTTTGTAGTTTTTTATAGTCTGCCGTGGGGAAATTGATTCATTTCCGTTTTTTGCTTAGCACTTCCGTTCGAGGTCTGGCGCCTATGAAGCAGACACGAAATCAGCTTAAAGCTAACAGTGGGTAATCCAATATTAAAATGTCGGCTTAGTTCAAATCAAATTCCTATGCCATGGCACATTCAAATCAATGGCATTGTCACTGCCTGCCAAGCTGCCAAACTGTCACTTGCAATTCGCAGGAAAGCAAAAATAAAAATATATTTATTCTTTAATAAAGAGTGCCTGGACCGCATCTTGGCTGGCAACGACTCCACTCCACTCCACTCAACTCCAGTCCGCTCTCTAAGGAGCCACTGGCTGTTCAAATTTATTGTTTGCAAATTGAAATTCTTGTCGACACGCACGAGCAACTGCAAAATCCATTGGGAATGCCGGGCAAAAGGCAGCTCCTTCTAGCTGCTCGAAGCTTGTCAACTCGGGCAACGGCTTTGATAGCCCTGTGGATGGGCAGCTCATCATGACTTCTTAGTATTTATTAAGATTTTGATGTGCCATGAAACATATTTCGAAAAAAAAAATTAACAAATATTTTTTAGCTGCGTTAAAAAAAAAATAAATAAAAATAATAACAATCATACTAAAATATAATGTATATTGAATAATTATAAAACTTAATAGGTAATATTAAGTATGTCTATCCCATTATAGTCAAGCTAGGTTAAGATGCTCATGTATAGTATCAATAAATTAGCTAATAAACAGAGAAAAAAAAAAAAAAAAAAAGCTGCGTTAACAAACTCCCAAGGGAAATGAACAAGGAGCTAAAGATGTTCTATGGAAAGTGGAGTTCGACGCTTGACTGCGTTAAAATTAAGTTCTTTACACATCGTATAAGTTAACATACAGGTAAGATCCATACCATATGGACTGTAGAGGATCCAAACTTAAGCAGAAGGCTGGCTAAAATGAAGGTAAGATAAGTGCTTTCACCGTTTGGGATTTTATAAATTCTTGAATTGTCACCAACACTCGAACAAAAATTAACTTTAAACACTTTCTTCTGCTCCTGATCTGATCTTGTCATTTGCGCCCTACTAAGCCTGGACCTCAAATTTCTGGCGTGCTGATGAATGATTTTTGGGTTATTGGCGATGCCGTTTGGCTAAATAAATATCTTGTACCAATTATAACCTGTATGAGGCCATGGGCTTCCTATACTCAAAGGCTCTGGGCATCTGCGTGACACTTTACATATGACTCTCACTTCTTATTGTTGGACTATTTGGATATTTGGCTGTGGAGGTACTATATGAACATAAGGTAAGTACTCCCATGTGGAGCTGTTTGGGTGAGTTCGCAGTGCTCAATTGTGACAAGAGAGAGCGTGCAGCTGACGATATTCGTTTGCCATAAATCTCATTATGGTAAACCGTATCGATCGGTTGCCATAAATCGAGCTGAGCTCTCCGATTTGGAGTCATTTGACTTGCGTTCGTGATGGGGCTACTGTTGCTGTTTTCACTGTTGCTTATTTCATGCACTCTGCTGGCTACTAATGGCAAGTAATATGTGTTTATTTTGTATATATGTGATGTATTATCCAATTTTTTAGGCCAATATTATTTCGAGTCCATGTCTGGCGAAGAATTAGACCAACATGATTTTGGAGACGATCGAGCGGCGGGGAAAGCAGAATTGCTTGGTCCTTATTCAATCGGTATGCAAACACCATTAAAAAGGAATTGAACTAGGACTTTGGCTTTGACTAATTACTATTGTTACAGGCGAAAGAAATGTGAGGGAAAAGAGCCCGTCCGAGACCACAGAAGTGGTTATAAAGGAAAGACCAGCTGATGAAAGTAGTACCGTACGTGTTTTCCAAGGACCGTACCCTGTTAATAATGAAAATCACGAGCTTGATATAACCACTGCTAAACCCTTTGAAGGTCGCGTAAGAGCCAACGGCAGAGATAGTCACGGACAGGGTAGAAGGGATGCTGTTGGCGCTGGCCACGGAAGATCCTCAGGCGGAACAAGTGGCAATGAAAAAGATGACAGTGCACTTCTCGAAGATAGTTTTTTCAGTTTTTCAGGTACCACAAGGAGCATTCGAAATGGTCCCAAATATGGTCCCACAGAAATTGTCTGGCCGCTTAAAAAATGGCCTATTGGAAGCCGAATTCGATAATAGTAAGACATCTAATTATGTTGTCAATACTTTAACCCATAAAAAGCCAACATATTTGTGTTTGAATAATTTGTAAGCCTTGTAGAAATAGAATGAGCAAAAATAACTAAATAATTGTAACATACATTTTCGACTGTGAAAATTCTGCACGATTTTCAGTTAAAATTCTTTAGATTCATGATTGCCTTCTGGTTGAGGGTAATAATTTTTATCGTTCTGGGTACTGCAGCTGTCGTAATCCGCAAGTGTGCATTTATTAGGCCACATTAGTCACCAGTTTACTCGGTACTCGTACTTGTAAATGTAATTTTATTAACGAGTCTAGTTAACATTGGAAATACTGGAAACACTTTGCAAACTACTTAGGTTGTTTTTAGAGGTGACTAATTGAGCGCACGGTGTAATATTTAACTTCTACATACTATTTTGTCATCAATGGATTCTTTTTATGTTTTTTTCTGTTCGGACTTTATGCGGCATCTCTTTTTATTTTCTTTACAATACACAAGGTGCACCGAAAGAGAATCTAAATTGCAATGTCTACGCAGGAAATTGATTGATTTCCGTTTTGCTCAGTGAAAAATGAAAAGGAAGAGCAACCAAACGAATGGAATCAGCGCTAGCAATTCGCTCGAGTCGTTCAAGATTCTTGCGAGCTGTTGTAACCACTCAGTGAATAATCCTGCTGGGTTTAAAGTAGACAGATTCACACCATTATGTGACCATAATTTTGGCTTGCAATTAGCCGTTTATGGGGCTGGGCACTTTGTTGCACTTGCAACCAAATGTTGTCTATGGCAGCTATGTGTGGGCTGAAGTCTGCCCAGCCAACATAAACTCTGACAAAACATATAACGGAGCGCACATGTTTTTGGCAAATGCAGCCAACGGGTGACAGGATATGCGTGCCAGCCGTGGCAGGAGCTGCCAGCTTCCCGGGTTGCTATCTGGATATGTTTGCATATCTTTTTCACAGTAATTGGCATTGGTATACGGTGCGTATGTGTGTTGCTAAAAGCACAAGACTCACTTGTTACACGCTCAATTAAGCCAGAAATGACACCAGAGCCAACTAAAGTCACGCTTTGTATAGCTTTAAATTTAGCGCCAAGCTCTACACACACATACGCACACACACTCACGCCAATAGATGTGCGAATTGCATGGCAAAGAGCCAGCCGTCATACAAATATTTTATGGTAGTTCAAGTGAAACATAGATTTCAGTGGAAAATAGTGTGCTATCAATTTGCATGTCTGCTTTTGATCTAAAAATAGATATAACATGTTTGGAATAATGCTCAAGAGTTTATGTAGACTGTCCATTGTATAGTTTCTGTAAGGCTTATGCAAAAAGTAGAGCAGAACCTTATACTTTATCTATTGTATTTACTTACTGAGAAAATTGCAATTTATTCTCTTGTTAAACTCGCTAAAATGAAAAAGTGAGATGTAGACTAATATTGTTAAGGCTTACATATGTGTCCATATTTATGGGTATCTTATCCAACTGATGAATATGACGTGGTATTCTGCGAAGAGGTTGGTCATTGCCTATTATTATATATTGTTTTATTGAATTTGAGTAAGGGCTTTGGAAATGAAATTTAAAAGCTATTCTAAAGCATACGCACTTTTTTACGGAGCTACCTAATTTTGCTTTAAACTAGGTTTCATGGCTATTGAACAATTTAAAAATGTGCCACCATAATTACGGCCGCATCCTTTTGCCTTAAGTAAATTATCGAGTACGCAAAATTGCTTTGCCAAGTCGAGCAGGACAAAGCGACTGGCAATTAGCGCAGCTCGGCATGCAGCAGTCTCGCTAATATGCTTAGTCAGGCCAGGTCCTTTGGCAGTGTGGCCCAGGACACGTGCAATACACACATGCACAGGGCCTTTAGCTGGTTTGCCAAGGGTGCAAAAAGGCTGACATTGTTTTCTAGAACATTCCTGTGGAGAAAACTGGTGTTTCGGCTTTAAGTTTAAGGTGACGGAGTGAAGGACATGACACTCACACACACACACGCACACACACAGGTACACACACGGGCACACACTAGGAATTGCAAATCAGTCGTCTAATGTATACATAATCAGTCATGTCGCAACATGTGAATTCCATTAGTGGATATTCGGTTCATGTTAACAAATGAGCATTAATCAGCGCAGGACGCGTAAGTGAAAGAGAGAGACAGAGACAAAAAAAAAACGAAAAAGCGGCAAGCATCTGGCCGTGTCCAACGAATTCTTCTGCCTGTTGTATGAGCTTTTCTGTTATTTATGTTTTTTGTCTAGCCATTTAATTGTGGACATATATATGTAGGGCAGCAGGAAAAAGCATTGTGTAGCCTACTTAAGAGCACACGCACACATTAATACACACACAGGCACAAAGACACAGGCAAGCGCATTCACATCCGACTTACGAATTGGCCCAACTACCTTGATTTATCCTCTGATATCAATGCATTGCTGCAATGGTACTGAAAGCCGACATCTTATTAATATGCCATTCATTTGGCCGCTTCATAGTTCATTAAAGCAGGAGCTGGGCGTCCGAGTCGTGCATCCTGGCGACTGACTTGGCCGCAAAGTGCAGCCAGCAAAAATTATGCGGCTCGTTTGCCGCTGCCACGTTTGTAGCTACAGCCCATGGCCAGGGAAAGGATCTGGGACAGGGACTGGTTCTGGCTCTGGTTCTGTAGCCGGGCCATTCGTTTATCCTTTTGTTCTCATTTATTTGCATGTCATTTGTTTGGCTCCTTCGCTTTGTTTTTTATTTTTTGTGTTGGTGTGTGGTTGGCATATATAATTGTGTGTGTGCTGGTTGCTTCTTCAGTCACGTTTGCCAGGACGCCAGTTACTTACGGCTGTTGTGTGCATTATCAATATGCATTCTACGGCAACGCTCTACGCTTTATATTTTATCAATGTTTTCATACCTCATACCAAGGCTACTTTGAGTTTATTAAAGTATACAAAAATATCGATAAATAATATCAATAACACTCCTAAAATGTTTGATACTTGATTTGGAATCAAAGGAAATTATTCATTAATTGTGCTAGTTTAAGAAGCGAAGAGAGTATTCAACTACTTTAATAATACATAATATTTAATATTTAGTGGATTCTTTTATATTTTAACATTTATTTTCGTACATTTGAAAGCATCAGCAAAAATGCTGAGGAAACTATGTCCGACGGATAAGGTAAATGGATGGATGCTGATCAAGAATGATCAGGATCGTGAATGCCTTTGTCTACCGATTTTGAAGCCGGAATGGGCGTAGAAATTAAAGGGATTATGCTTGTTAAGAAATCGAATAAAGAATGTACACACTTCTGCATAACGAAAATGCATTTGCTTATTTACACGTCCTCAGTACTCTGTTCTCTGCACTGAAGTTTTAATAACGAATTGCTTTTTTATGGTTTCCGGCTTATAGAACAGCACAGAAATTGGCAAGGAAAGCAAAATCGTAGCAAGCAATTCTTTAATCATTTGTGTGTGTGTGTAAGTATGTTTTTTAAAGCTGTCGCTGATGCTGCATTGTTGCTTTGTTAGGCAAGTCAAGTCTGCGGTAGCTTCCGTAGCTGGAGTCGCTGTTAATGTCGCAACAGTTGCCATTCCTACCGTCTCTACCTCTATCTCAGCCACTGCCCCTGCCCCTGCCCCTGCCTATGCCTCTGGCTTTATTCCTATTGCCGTTGCTCTTGTCGTTGATATTTGTGCGCCAAGCGTAATTAGTGCTCATGGCATAAGGCGCACTTCCTCTACGCGCAGCTCCTGTTGTTCTATGTCAGTCCATGCCTGGCATCGTTCGGATTGTGGCACTGCGTTGCTTCCATTCGTAATCAGTTTTTGCAGGTTCCAGCGCTTTGTGCTGCGGATTTACTAACTGGACAACGGCAGAGTGCAAACACAAATACTAATACACAACCTCGGACACCCTCACACACACACAAAAACACGTCACACTGCCTCCGTTTTCATCATCATGTTTGCCTCTTTGTTGTTGTTTTAACTTTAACAAATTAGTTATTTACGATTCATTGAATTCATTTTAATTAAGGACATGCCTTTGTATTCACAGGGAGTTAAATGGAATAATATTAAATGAGCCAGCCGAATAAAACTAGCATAAATTTGCAAAGGAGAAAACCAAGTCTGGAAAAGGTTGCTTTTGGCATGCTTAAATGCCAAATTATATATCTATGTGCTTAAAATTGTATTTCCTGACTGACGGACTGACAGGTTGGCTTCAAAGCTGAATAAATGTGTTCCACCCCCAAAGACGGAAAATAGGCGCAATATTATTTAACTGTTTTTTTTTAACTTTTCAATGTGAACAAGAGTAGATTGAGCTTGTAGAATGTTTTTTATTATATATATCTTTCCAGGTTATGGGCATTAGAATACGAAACGGGCAGACTGCATAAAATTGGATATATTCCACAGATCTAGGCTACAGATCTACACCAGAAAATTGCAAAAATAAACCAATTATTTATATGGTTTGATATAAGGATTTACTAACTGGAATATATATATAAAATAATGTAATATTTATTATTTATTATTGAAACTTGTAATAAATTTAGACAATTTCTGTCTAAAAATAAGTCCATGATGCCTAATTAAATAATCTTTGTCATCAAATTCAAGCATAGTTATCAGGTTAAATATAAAATATAATTCTGGTTGTACACGCAGAATTGTGCTCCCTAGTTGATTTAACTTTCAATGCTAATTGCCATTTGGCAACTTTCGCGACTTGATTCAAACTTCGTTTCCCATTGGACAATGAAAGCATTTCATTTTAGTTGTTTGACTACGACTCGATTGCCGTTTGTTTTGGCCATTGTTTGAGTTCACACAGCCTTGCCATTAATTTCACAATTAGTTAGCAACGGCTGCTAAAGCGACACGGAACCACCAGGGAACCACCTGACGGCAACTCAAGACAAAAGTCCAAGAATCTTTAATTAATTTCTACAGCAGCTGTGTGCGTGTGTGTGTGTGTGCGAGGTGTAGTTGTGTGTCTGTTAATTTTGCGCAACTATTATTCAATTATTTGTATGCGAAAACTCGGCAAACTACG